CTCCCACCATCCCTGAGCTGAGTTCCCGGGTCTGTACACCGTGGTCACACGTAAAAGGGGAAATGAAGCCAAACTGGTAACTAGTAAAGCCTGCAGGTTCTCTACTCCCCCACCAGGTGGCGACCTCACTTGTGGAACGCAGAGCCAGGAAGTGATGTCACACAAACAGGAAGTGTGTCAGGTAAAGACAGGAAGTTTGGGGTTAGAGGTCATTTGGGAAGAAGTAGAAAGGAGACATTACTGGAAATGGCAGCAGAGGAGGTAATAAGACATTATGATTATTCTACAATAATTGGGTGTAATACAATCACAGCATTGTATGTGTATATATATATATATATGATATAAGAGCGCTCACGTGTCATAAATTGTCCCCCCGAAACCAGGCACAAAGCAAAGACCTCAACAGCGGCTTATGTTCTGACCGATGCCTGCTGTGCTGTAATTTACATACCTCCTGGCTACTTAGCTCTATATGGTGTGTAGTACATCGCATTCTACTTACACCCGAGCTTCATACACTTTGTTATACATTACATACTACTGACCTCCGAACCCTGAGCTGTGTGTTACGTACTACTGACCTCCGAACCCTGAGCTGTGTGTTACGTACTACTGACCTCCGAACCCTGAGCTGTGTGTTACGTACTACTGACCTCCGAACCCTGAGCTGTGTGTTACTACTGACCTCCGAACCCTGAGCTGTGTGTTACATACTACTGACCTCCGAACCCTGAGCTGTGTGTTAAATACTTCTGACCTCCGAACCCTGAGCTGTGTGTTACATACTTCTGACCTCCGAACCCTGAGCTGTGTGTTACATTCTACTGACCTCCGAACCCTGAGCTGTGTGTTACATACTCCTGACCCCTGAGCTGTGTGTTACATACTACTGACCTCCGAACCCTGAGCTGTGTGTTACATACTCTTGACCTCTGAACCCTGAGCTGTGTGTTACATACTACTGACCTCTGAACCCTGAGCTGTGTGTTACATACTCTTAACACTGCCACTCTATATCGGGGGTAGGTAAAGTCCGGCCCTCCAGCCGCGGTGAAATTACCAAATCCCGTCATAACTTTGCTTCTGGGAGCCATGCCTGTGGCTGTCAAGAGTCTTGCAATGCCTTGTGGGATCTGTAGTTGCACCAAGGCTGGAGGGGGCGGAGTTTGCCTATCCATGCTTTATATATGTTATGTTGTACGTTGCATACTCCTGACCATAGAGTTGATTATACTTGCCGGTTGCTGAGCAGTCTCCAACTATTGGTCTAGGCTGAAGACCTGATGGACATAAAGGTGGAAGTCAAAGAGGAAGAAGAAGAAGAGCGGTACATCGGCGGTGACGAGCCGTCTACGGAAGAGGACGTAGTGAAGGTGATCGTGAAAGGGGAGGAAGAGGAGGAGCCTTCTCTAGACATTAGCACTGGTGAGTCCTGACCAATGAAAGCAGACGAGTCACTTGTTCCCAGTACGAGGTGTCATTAGACGTTGGCACCATCAGGAAAGATGAAAGTTGAAGATGAACGTTGGTTCATGCGGAGTACGGGGACAGTACCATCAGTACAGTCCGGGGGCAGTACCATCAATACAAATGAGTAAACTGAACATGAGATTGTAGTCCATCCCGGGGGCGGGGCTTGGAGCGGTGACTACTTTACAACACACACAGGGCCCATGAGGAACAGACGTAGTCACTCTCCAGAAGGAAGTACAGTGTCAGCTCCAATTCAGAGATGATTGGAGGATCTACAGCCGAGTGATACACAAATAAGGGTTGAGGGACTTGAATGTATTTTTAGGGTTTATCTCCGGAGTTTGGTGTCACTTGAAGTAAATACAACAACTCGGTAAGGTGAAGGCAATGGACAATGGAGGATCTGGGTGTTGACTATATAGACCGAGTGCAGAGATGGGCAGCAAACATGGTGAAAGGTCTGAGAGATGAAACCTATCAGGAGGAACTTAATATGTACGGTCTGGAGGAAAGAAGGGAAAGGGGGGACATGACTGGAACCTTTTAATACATGAAGGGTGTGAGTAAGGTTCAGGAGGGCAGGATTTTCAATATGAAGGTGAGATCAGGAACACGGGGACTTGACCTCAATCATGTAGATATGACATCAACCACAGGGACATGACCTCAACCGTAGAGGCATGACTTCCATCGTGGAAACATGACCTCCATCGTGGAGACATGACCTCAACCATGGAGACATGACCTCAACCATGGAGACATGACCTCAACCATGGAGACATGACCTCAACCATGGAGACATGACCTCAACCATGGAGACATGACCTCAACCATGGAGACATGACCTCAACCATGGAGACATGACCTCAACCATGGAGACATGACCTCAACCATGGAAACATGACCTCAACCATGGAAACATGACCTCAATCACGAGGATATGACTTCAACCACAGGGACATGACCTCAACTACAGAGACATTACGTTAACCACGGGAACATGACCTTAATCATGGAGACATGACCTCAACCATGGGGACATGATCTTAATCACGAGGATATAAGTTCAACCACGGAGACATGACCTCCATCGTGGAGACATGACTTCAACCACAGGGAAATTACCTCAAACATGGAAACATGACCTCAATCACGGAGATATGACCTCAACCACGGAGACATGACATCAACCACAGAGACATGACCTCCATCATGGAGACATGACCTCAACCATGGGGACATGGCTTCAAACATGGGGACATGACCTCAACCACGGGGACATGACCTCAATCACGGGGACATGACCTCAATCACGGGGACATGACCTCAACCACGGGAAGATTACTTCAAACTAGCTGTAACAACCAGACCCCACAGGTCTTATTTTAGGTGGAGGATCACAGCTGCAGAAGTATGAGGAGGGGGTGCAATCCTACACCACAGTGAATTTACAGTCTTATGGTAATGAGTTAGGCAACAATTACTTAGCATGAAAAATAGATGAGGTTTTATTGTAGGGAGCAGTCCTTTTAGATTAGTGGGGTGAAGGATGACAACAATCAATGGGAGCAATCAAGTTATCCCTATGCACAGTTCTATCAATATGCAAGCATTTGGAAATCACAGTCTGTGGTATGCTTACTGCTATTTTAGTTGATAGGAATGATAAGGAGAACGTTGGTGCCCTCCGGTGGATCTTTAGAGTAACTGCAGTCCAGATTGTAATAGCCCTTGCTGAAGCTGGGGATGAAGGAGGTAGTGGAGACCGAATTGCAGGGCTGGAGGGAAGTCAAAGCAGGATGTGCTGGTGGTTTTGGAGGGGCTCTGTCCGGCCCAATAAGAGGAAGAGGTTCGGTGCTGGGATACAGGAACTTGCCTGGCGTCTTCACACTTGCTCGAACGTCAGGCAAGTGTAACGTTCAGCCTTAACTAGGGAGTGGGGGAGGAGTCCTGGAACGAGGAACAGGTGAGTGATCGAGTGCACCTGTTACACTAGCAGGAGGAACGTTCAAAACTAACCTTAGAGAATATTATGTTACAGAAATAATATTTGTTGGAGGGAACAAACTTCCAGCAGAGGTAGAGAGTCAGTCGCCAGTAAGTGGGCTTAGGACAACCATAGATCTATACACAGACAAAAAGTGGGATAGACTTGGTGGACCTCCTCGTGGTCTTTTTCTACCATCACGTTTTCATTTCTCTCATTAATTCACCACTTTTTGGATCTTTTTAGGTTTCATAGACAATCATACAAAACAAATTGCTTATAATACTAATTTAAGGACATTCTTTCCAACAGATGGCCACTACGTCTGGACCCCAGAGGGACGCCATGTCTCATCTTCAGACCATAAATCCGAGGACATCTCTGTTGCTAAGCATTCCCAAGAGGTCAAACGCGCTGCTGTAACCATACAGGACAAACCGTACCGTGCTGGCCGATCCACGGATCCCTCCCATCCTAAGAAGTCTTCGGAGAGAGAACATTCTAGTAACCCAGATGTCCATCTGGAAAAATCTCCTGGTAAACCACATACTGCACGACACAGCGAAAATATATTTTCATGTACTGAGTGTGATAAATATTTCACAAGGAAGGCCCATCTCATCAGACATCAGAACAATCACTCCGGACTGCGTCCCTTCCCGTGCCCGGAGTGCGGGAAATCTTTCAGAGACAAATCGAGCCTTGTCCTGCATCAGAGAGTCCACAAAGATGAGCGTCCTTTTCCGTGCTCGGAGTGCGGCCAGAGCTTTAAATGGAAATCTTACCTTGTCACGCATCTCAAAGCTCACAGAGGTGAGACTCCTTTTTCTTGTTCCGAGTGCGGGAAGTGCTTCAAAGAAAAACGGGCTCTCGTAATTCACCAGCGAGTCCACACGGGCGAAATGCCGTATTCCTGTACTGTGTGCGGGAAGAGCTATACGCGGAAGGATACTCTGATCATACACCAGCGCACCCACACGGGTGAAATGCCGTATATGTGTACAGAGTGCGGGAAGGGTTTCACGCGGAAACAAACGCTCCTCAAACACCATCGAACTCACACAGGCGAGCGCCCGTATACCTGTCCGGAGTGCGGCAAATGCTTCACCCAGAAATTCTGCCTTGATCAGCATCGGAAAATCCACATAGACAAGAATTCCTTCTCCTGCTTGCAGAGCGACCAAACGTTGGCAACAGATTTTGAGCTTCAGGTACAGCGGAGCATTCCCAACAGCGAAAAACTCTTCCTGTGCTCTGAGTGCGATTATGTATTCATAACCAAGGCGCAGCTCATGATACATCGGAGGGTTCACACCGGAGAGAAGCCCTTTTGCTGCTCTGAGTGCGGCAAACGTTTTTCACAGAAAGGAAGCCTCAACACACATCTAAAATGCCACACTGGTGAGAAGCCGTTTACCTGCTCGGAGTGTGGAAAGTGTTTCATACAAAAGGGACAGCTCCTCACGCACCAGAGAAGGCACACGGAGGAGCGTCCTTATGCCTGCTCGGAGTGCGAAAAGTCGTTCAAAGTCAAATACGAACTCCTTCAACACCAGAGGTTCCACACCGGCGAGAAGATCTCCTCGTGCTTGCAGTGCGGGAAATGCTTCATAAAGAAATCACAGCTTATTGTACACGAGAGGGGTCACACTGGTGAGAGGCCCTTTTCGTGCTCCCATTGCGGGAAAAGCTTTGCGCAGAAAGGTCACCTTAATAATCACATGAAAGTCCACACGGAGGAAAAGCCGCCAGAGGAAACGATTTGTGCAGGAAGTGAATCTAATTCAACATGAAGGAACCCAAGCCTGCTGGAGATGGGCAGATGTATAGTGGTGTTTGTAAGATTTATTATTATATCCTTGGAGTCGGTTGGGTGGTAAAGATGTCCCATAACATTATACATCCTTGCCTCCTTTGCATCCCATAATATAATACACTCCCTTCTCCCTAACTCCATCTGCAGCATATGTAATCTGATCTCCCTGCCCTCTAGAGGAAATGGTTTGTCACTTGAAGCTCACAATCTACTCATCATGGTAATCAAATAAATATTTTAAAAAGTATATATTTTTCAAAAGTCTGCATGTCCTTTAAATTCCCATCAAGGTCCCCACGAGTGAATGCCGAAATATCCATGTTTTTAAGGACCATCCACGGAGTCGTGATAATCCTCCCAGAAGATACAGTATATAGCCCATGTCTACGTCCAAATAATTCCAACCACATGAGGGATGTTCTCAGTTTATCCCATAATTGTGAGTCACAGACTACTATTCAGGTGATAAATAACACCCAATATACAAGAAGAGCCACGTAAAATCGTCCTTCAGGCCTCTGCAGGGATCTTAACCATGGAAACATGACCTCAACCATAGGGACATGGCTTCAACCATGGAAACATGACCTCAAACACGAGGACATGGCTTCAACCATGGAAACATGACCTCAACCACGAGGACATGGCTTCAACCATGGAAACATGACCTCAACCACGAGGACATGGCTTCAACCATGGAAACATGACCTCAACCACGAGGACATGGCTTCAACCATGGAAACATGACCTCAATCACGGGGACATGACCTGGGATCTTAAGGATTCAGCCTACACTGGCAAAACTGCTCCAATTCTGGTGACCGGCATTGGGAAGACCACTCCAGTACTTGTCGCCTTACTTGGAAGGTGCCAATCCTTTTCCAGGGGTTTTTATTCTGGAGCCCACCAGGCAGATGCCATGTCCTTGTTTGAGGTGTCAGTCCCTTTCCACTAAACTCAAGAGTTTTGGATTCTGGGGCCCACCAGGTAGATGCCATGTCCTCTTTGGAGGTGCCAGTTCCTTTCCACTAAACTCAGTTTTGGATTCTGGAGCTCACCAGGTAGAGCAATGCCATATTCTCTTTTGGAAGTGTTAGCCCCTTTCCACAAACTCAGAGTTTTGGATTCTGGAGCCCACCAGGTAGATGTAATGTCCTCTTTTGGAGCTGCCAATACCATTTCCACTAAACTCCAGAGTTTTGGATTCTGGAGCCTACCAGATGCCATGTCCTCTTATGGAACCCTTGCCATTGGTCTTCGACTGGCCACCAGTTATGGGTTGTTTGTTTAGCCATCTCTCTATACTACCTCAAAAGAACATCTCCAGTATAACAATCTCATTAGTTGAAGCAGTAGTAGTTCTCCACCTCTTATAAGCGAATATTCATTAGTATGTAGAAGGCTCAGACCTAGTTGTGGACATTTTCTACAAAGTGGACATTGTGGTCACTGAACGGAGATCTATGTGTCACTTGGGCATTAGGTTACTACAAAGCAATTACTCCAGTTTACTTCTGCTGCTGGGGTTGAACTGAACCCCGATACTACAGCGGGAACCCGTTTCTTTGATTTGTTGGTTGGACTTTGTGCTGTTTAGATGTATCGGTTTTATTGAATAAATATAAGGCCTTAACTTTTCAGATTTCTGCTTTGAGTCTTTGTTTTCTAAGCAACAGAACTCAATAAAGCCCCCCAAGCCTTGCACTCCAAGATGAAGCCCCCAAGCCTTGCACTCCAAGATGAAGCCCCCAAGCCTTGCACTCCATGCCTAAAGTCTCTCATCTCCTCTGCTGAGCCCCTTCCCTATGTAGCAGCGTTCAATCGTGTAAAGCGGAATTTTAACGTAAAGGGTGGAAGGAGGGACGGTAAAGGGTTATTGTACAGTAAGTGGGAGGGAGGACATTAAAGGGTTAATGTACAGTGAACAGGTTAGAAAAATAAGGGGTTAATGTACAGGAAATGGGAGGTCAGTAAATGGTGATTGGGTGGGGGAAGTAAAGAGTTAATGTACAGTGGATGTGAGGGGGACAGTGAAGGGTTAATGTACAGTGAGTGGGAAGTGAAGGGTTAATGTATAGTAAATGGTGGTGGGGGGCAGTGAAGGGTTAATGTACAGTGAATGGGAGGGGGGGCAGTGAAGGGTTAATGTACAGTGAATGGGAGGGGGGCAGTGAAGGGTTAATGTACAGTGAATGGGAGGGGGGCAGGGAAGGGTTAATGTACAGTGACGGGGTGGGGGACAGGGAAGGGTTAATCTATGTCACATAGGGGGGAGGTGAGGGGGTGAGGTAGAGTGAGTGGGGGGGGGCAGTGAAGGGTTAATGTACAGTGAAGAGTAGGGGGACAGTGAAGGGTTAATGTGCAGTGAATGGGAGGGGGGGCAGTGAAGGGTTAATGAACAGTGAATGGGAGGGGGCAGGGAGGACAGATACAGTGCAATCTTCTATAGAATTCTCTGAAGGTATTTCCATCAACATTGTTATTGTAAAACAGAGCACTGTGCGTGTAAGCGGGCTTAGGGTGTAGCGGCTTCACAGAGGTAATCACGCGTAATGGTCTTGTGAACAAGATAACGTTTATTACCGGAGGGCCGGTAGTAGAAGAGTATTTACAATAGTAAGGTCAGCAGTTTCACTCCAGGCATGGAGACACAGGTACACAGTACAGTCAGTTCTGTTATGAACGTTAGTAGTATTCGTTAGCGCTATCAGCACCTCCCACTAACTGGCAAAGTACAAATCCAATCACACGAGGTGTATCGGTAAAGGCGGAGAACACGTTACCCGGGAGCAGCGGTATTCGTTCCATACAGCGAGATATGAGTCTGGCACACTCTTCCCGCACTCACAGCCCGGACACCGGTTTGGCTATAAGCACTGGGAGTCTTTCATCCGACCAGAACTGCCGATGCAGGACTCCGTAGGAACCCTGAACTATCCCTCACAGGCCGGAACACTTTCCCTGAACTCTCCCTCACAAGCGGGGTCCCTGTCCCTGTCTACTTTCACACTTGTTCTGCCCAAAAATGTGGCTGGGATTCCTATATAACATAACCACCCCAAAATGGCCGACCAAATCTCCCGAGAATTCCTGTCCTATCAGGACACCAGGCTTCTCCAAAATGGTGCTGGAGACAATTATAGAGGCTAAACAGTTCTGAACATATTTACACATAAACATATCAAAATCGGCTGAAAGTAGTTATATACACTGGTTATCCCACTTTATCCTGCAGCCAGCTAGGCTGCCCTGTTACTGGCAACTGCCTACATGCGCCCCACCATACAGCGTGCGAGCTGCCAGATCTTCCGGATTGTTCCCGTAACGCAGGTATTCCCCAACTTATAAACAGAGAAGGTCTGGAGAAAGGAAGTGTGAAATCCAGGGGGGGGCCCGCGTGACTAGTGAACTGGCCCGGGTTCGGTTTGGTTGAACGTTCCCCGAACCCAACCAGCAATCCAAGTTCGGTGAACTGAACCCGGGGCCTCCTGTGTCCTGGCAACCAATGGCGGGCACAACATCATTGCACGGATGCAGGCCGGTGCACCATAATAACAAATTACGCCGTGGTGGGATCAGGGCCGTCTTTAATATTGATTGGACCCTGGGCAAACATTTCCTTGGGCCCCCGCCCACTACCTGCCATGCCCCGTGAACCCTAGATGCCTCGTGCGCAGGGCTGATGCAAGGTTTTTTCCTACACAGGCAAAGGTGCACCCCCCCTGTGCCCTCAGACAGCTGCCTATACAGCCTTGTGCTAGTGCCGGCCCTCTCTAGATTGCCCCAAAGCCTCCCGGGATACATGACATATCGCAGGTAACTGGGGACATCATTCCTGTCTGGGCGAGAAAGGCAAAAGTACAATCTGTATTCCATGTTAAAAAAAACAACAACCTGTATTTGCTATTTCAAGCAAGGGGGGGGCACTAATAAAGTGCACTCCTGTAGGGCAGACAGGCTTCAAACAGGTGGCTGTTATGAAAAAGGTGTGCAGATCTCCTTGTTACAGGGAGAGGACCCTGTCTATTAGAAACCACGAAAACAAACAAAGGATCAGGAGCGCAACTACCAAAATTCCTTGTGTGTGAGTAGGTGAGTGTGATCCGGCGAAGGGACCAGTGGATATATAGAGGAGGACAGCGTCAGGCGCACTATTAGATCTTTACAGTGTCGGGTTTAGGTATCTATGGCAATGTCACAGTAGTAAAAAAGGGGGACACCCCAGCAGGCCCCAGGCAACACACTGAGTACGGAGAGGCAGGGGCTGAGTGGATAGTGGGCGGAGCACGAAGTCCCGTCCATGCTGCTGCATGTAGCCTGGCACAGACGCCGTGTACACAGACAGGAGCCAGGTCCAGTGTAAGTCCCCATACCTACACAGGTGAGGTTGCCAGCCCTGAACATGTGTATCTTTTGCAGGCTCAAGGGGCAGCTGCTTTGGGCCCCACAACAAGGACTAGGCCCAGGGCAACTGCCCCTTTTGCCCTGCGTTAAAGACGGCCCTGGGTGGGATGGGAGGTTCAGAGTCTTTTAGCCGAACTGCGAATAGCTTCAGTTCGGGTGGAATTCATGGTCGACTTGAACCCAAAGCTCATCCCTAGTCCTCAGATACTTGTACACATTGTCAGATCTTCTGGCCCCAGTTCTTTCATGGAGCTTCTCCTCCGGTGGTTCCGGATCTAGTTTCTGCGATGGGTAGAGTTGGACTTTTCCAGGCTTTGCCGATGTCAGAACGTTCATCTGAATTGTCATTTCGTGGAGGTCTTGGATTGGGCAATCCATATTTCAGGTATTGAGTATTCACCTCTGGGGAACAGTCAGAAAACGTCAGCCCAAAACTGCTGGACCACAAGACGGGTCGGGTGTGGTAGAAAGTACCGCAGCCTTGAAAACACAGAAGGGGGCGAAGCTACATAGGGGGCAGGTCTAGTGGGTGTCATAGACCATTGTGGAAGGACTATGATGATGTTCTGCCGGTCATTGGTTGTCAGGACACAGGAGGCCCCCGGGTTCAGTTCACCGAACCTGGATTGCTGGTTGGGTTCGGGGAACGTTCAACCAAACCAAACCCGGGCCAGTCTACTAGTCGGTCTCAACCACAGGAACGCTGCATGAACTTGAAGGCCTCCCATATCTTGGACCAGTCATGTTCTTCCAGGTCCAAGACTAGGCCTGTGTTCCATGTCTGGGTACACAATGGGGGGCAATGGGCAGTACAATTAGGTCATTTTTAGACAATTTCCACCATTTTCAAGTAACTGAAGGCAAGACAACCCCCCCTCCCCCGACTCCTAGGGTTGCCACCTGTCCAGGATTCACCCGGACAGTCCGGGTTTTGAACGCTGCGTCCGGGTTTCATGGCAGCAGAAACCCGGACACAAGATGTCAGGCAGACGGGGGCAACCAAAATTAGGATAGGGGCTACTGGTCCAGCACTGAAAATAGTCTCCACTGTGATATTTACATAAGAATGGGCGGAGCTATTTACATATGAATAAGCCGCAACTCATTCTCCCACAAAAATGACCGCGCTTCGCTGGAGTGTTCGGGTTTCGCTGGAAGAAGAGGTGGCGACCCTACCGACTCCTCACATGCATAAAAACTGGTTTTCGAATGGAAAGGATTGCGCAATATATTCATGTGTGTGGCTGGGTGGGTGGGTTTGGTAATCTGATGAGGACACCTTGCGTTTAAGCACCAGATAGGGGAATTCCCGGAGCTCCCTTATCACCAACCAGTGAAGACATTTTGAAATAGCATGTCATGGAAATTTGAAGTGGACCTGTCATGGGATATACACTGAGTGGCCAGATTATTATGACCACCTGACGTTTGTAGGCAAATGAGCTATAATTTGGCGCTGAAGTTGCTAGAGGGCCAGACCATTATAAATAGGGAAGCAGGTTGGTTACCACGACAGTAGAAGTGATTTGTTTCTGAAGATACGGGGAAACAACGCGATGTAACAGCCTTTGAACGCGGGATGATTGTTGGCGCTCGGAGCCATGGAGCGAGTATCAGCAAAACAGCAGAATGCGTTACATGTTCAAGAGCGGCTCATTGTTAAAGTGTTTAAAGACCGGACTGTCAGCGGAAAATCTGGGTCTGAACGTGCGAATTGTGGCCGTCAGCGGCTAGTCAATGTTAGGGCAGAACGGGGGAGGGGCAAGACTGGTACAAGACAACAGAAGGGCAACAGTGCATCAAATTACTGCAGATCTTAATCAGGGATCCTCTCAAATGATCTCTGAACGCACTGTTCGCCGTACACTGCGTCGTATGCGATATCGATATCCTTGTGTTCCTGTGCGAATTGGAGACGTTTTATCTTGTTAACTGCAGACAGCAAAGGTGTTGGAACCGGCCTTCGGCTTCCATATCCCATACGACGCAGTGTACTGCGAACCGTGCGTTCAATGAGCAGATCCGAAACTTGATGGAGGCAGGAAAGTTGGGAGGCGGCAGAGCCTGTGGTGTTGTGCCCCCTGGGGGTGGCGTCCCAGGGGTGCTCAGAAAGTCACTTGGGTGTGGGACCCCCCATGACTCACTGTGCACATGGTCACACACCACATTGCATTTTCTGCACAAAGCCTCTTGGACAAACCTTATGGCTAGTCCGGGGCAATTTTTTTGCACTCGGCCCCGTGGTACACTGGCACTATTCATTTATTTATTGCACCTCGTGCACGATTGGCATGTTTTTTTGGTTTTTAAAATTTTGACCCACAGAGTGCTAGGGTGCAGGTACCTTCGGGGCCTATTCCCGATGCAGGGGAGGAGGTTCTGTGCCCTAATATAGGGTTCTCTGCCTCCTCCCGAACCAGGGGGTCTCTCTTCGGGAGAGCCCCCTACCTAGTACTATGTGGGACCTGTTTCGGCAGGTCCCCAAAGGATCGGGGTCCACCGGCCTTCGGGTAGGTGGACCATAGTATCTCAACCCCTGTCAGGAGCCTTGCGCCCCGGGGGGTTGGGAATTTGAGGTCCCTTCTTAATTGAAGGACCAAGCACCCTTGTGCACGTTTTTCTGTGCTGTGATTTCACGGTTCACCTTTTTTGTTCACAGGGGGAAGTTTGTTTTTCGATGCACGTTCCACGGGCTCTTAAAAAAAAAAAGTTGTCACCAGAAACCAGACCAGCTGTGGAAGAACGTCTGTGTGGAAAATTCAAAACATGGACCGGAGTCACACGACCGAGAAGATATTAGATCTCACTCTGGAGATCATACAACTGCTGACCGGAGAGGTGAGGAGGATTCTGGGAGGTCACATGACATCACTCTGATCTCTATTCATAAAACACAGACCTGACCGGAGAGGTGAGGAGAATTCTGGGAGGTCACCACTGCCTGACTGTAGAAGTTTAGATTGATGAGAATGTCAGCTGACCTTTCCTTCTGCAGCTACTAAAATAAAATAATTCCCATGACGGACACATGAGAGGTTCTGGGGATGTTGGAGCCAATATTACCATTTGTATTGATATTTATGAAATTCTTGACCAACAGGATTGTGCCGTAGAGAAGAAGAAATCTGGTGAGCAGAACACTCCGAAAAACCCTTCCTGTTTGTTAGCAGAATGGAGACAGAACCAGAGATCCACCATTGTGTCTCCAATGGACATCCTGAGACCTGAACAAATCAACAAGAAGATTCTAGAAGTCACCCGGAAGATGATTGAGCTGCTGACAGGAGAGGTGAGCGGTGCCGGGAATTCTGGGACATGATCCAGGAACAGACAAGGGATGTGTCTGGGTGGTGACTGTATCATTGTGTGTGTCAGGTTCCTATAAGGTGTCAGGATGTCTCTGTCTATTTCTCCATGGAGGAGTGGGAGTATCTAGAAGGACACCGGGATCTCTACAAGAATGTCATGGAGGATCAACAGATGTCAACAATATCAGGTGAGAGAAGACTGAATTGCTGAAGAAGGACCCAAAAATTCGGGATTACTATTTTAACTGAAAAAAAATAACCTTACTTGCAAAGTCAATCTCCATTCCTCACTATAACGTCATGTCCCCCAACAAATGAGGAGGAGATACTGTACACCATATGAAGGTCCATCTCCATTCCTCAATATAACGTCATGTCCCCAACAAATGAGGAGGAGATACTGTACACCATATGAAGGTCCATCTCCATTCCTCAATATAACGTCATGTCCCCAACAAATGAGGAGGAGATACTGTACACCATATGAAGGTCCATCTCCATTCCTCAATATAACGTCATGTCCCCAACAAATGAGGAGGAGATACTGTACACCATATGAAGGTCCATCTCCATTCCTCAATATAACGTCATGTCCCCAACAAATGAGGAGGAGATACTGTACACCATATGAAGGTCCATCTCCATTCCTCAATATAACGTCATGTCCCCAACAAATGAGGAGGAGATACTGTACACCATATGAAGGTCCATCTCCATTCCTCAATATAACGTCATGTCCCCAACAAATGAGGAGGAGATACTGTACACCATATGAAGGTCCATCTCCATTCCTCAATATAACGTCATGTCCCCAACAAATGAGGAGGAGATACTGTACACCATATGAAGGTCCATCTCCATTCCTCAATATAACGTCATGTCCCCAACAAATGAGGAGGAGATACTGTACACCATATGAAGGTCCATCTCCATTCCTCAATATAACGTCATGTCCCCAACAAATGAGGAGGAGATACTGTACACCATATGAAGGTCCATCTCCATTCCTCAATATAACGTCATGTCCCCAACAAATGAGGAGGAGATACTGTACACCATATGAAGGTCCATCTCCATTCCTCAATATAACGTCATGTCCCCAACAAATGAGGAGGAGATACTGTACACCATATGAAGGTCCATCTCCATTCCTCAATATAACGTCATGTCCCCAACAAATGAGGAGGAGATACTGTACACCATATGAAGGTCCATCTCCATTCCTCAATATAACGTCATGTCCCCAACAAATGAGGAGGAGATACTGTACACCATATGAAGGTCCATCTCCATTCCTCAATATAACGTCATGTCCCCAACAAATGAGGAGGAGATACTGTACACCATATGAAGGTCCATCTCCATTCCTCAATATAACGTCATGTCCCCAACAAATGAGGAGGAGATACTGTACACCATATGAAGGTCCATCTCCATTCCTCAATATAACGTCATGTCCCCAACAAATGAGGAGGAGATACTGTACACCATATGAGGGTCCATCTCCATTCCTCAGTATAATGTCAGAATGAAGAGAATGAATCTGCTTTTAGTATTAATAAGAATGTCTTTCCAACAGATGGATACAATGTTCGGAATGCCTCAGAGGGAGATGTAATGTTATCTCTGGACCGTAGTGCAGAAGACACCGTACAATGTTCTCCACATGTACGCTATAGACTCCGTCATAGGCCAATGGCCCCGTCTGATCCTGCCAACTCACTGGACGCGCATCCAGGTTTCCGCAGTGGATCAGCAGATCTCTCCGATTTGGAAGAATCTGATCTCAGCACATCACGTACTGTTAAGAACAAAGGCAAAAAGATTTTTCGATGTTCCGAATGTGATAAATGTTACACGAGAAAGGTTCATCTCACTAGACACCAATCCCTGCACACTGGAGTGCGGCCCTATTCATGTTCAGAGTGCGGGAAATCTTTTAGCGAAAAAGAAACCCTCATCCAACATGTGAGAGTACACACAGGCGAGAGACCATATTCGTGCCCAAAGTGTGGGCAGTGTTACAAGCAGAAAGCTAATCTCAGGTCGCATCTCAAGTCTCACCTCCCTGTTCACTCAGGTGAGAAGCCGTACTCATGCTCAGAATGCGGAAAGTGTTTTAATCGGAAAGGTTCGCTCACTGTACACCAGCGAAACCACACGGGAGAAATGCCACATACATGTACAGAATGCAGGAAAGGTTTCACACGGAGAGGTATACTCATTAAACACCAGCGTACCCACACAGGAGAGCGGCCTTTTTGCTGCACAGAGTGCGGCAAATGTTTTAAGCAGAAGTTCTGCCTTGAACAACATTGGACAGTGCATATAAAGGACTTCTCGTGTCCAGTCTGCAAGATGTTTTTTGAAAGGAGGGAAGAACTTCTTGAACACTGCAGGGTACATAGCAACAAGCTCTTTTCATGCTCAGAGTGCGAGAAATTGTTTGCGAGTAAATCACACCTTGTGAACCACCTGAGAGTTCACACCGGTGAGAAGCCCTTTTCATGTTCTGAGTGTGGGAAAAGTTTCTCAGAAAAAGGAGCCCTCAGTACGCATTTCAAGCTTCACACCGGTGAGAAGCCATTTTGCTGTTCAGAGTGAGGAAATAAGTTCTCATCAAAAGCTTATCTAGTTATTCACCAGAGAATTCACACAGGTGAACGTCCTTTTAAATGCTCGGAGTGCGGGAAAGCGTTCGTATCAAGAACTTACCTGGTTGAACACCAAAGTCTTCACACCGGCGAGACCTATGCATGCTCAGAGTGTGAGAAATTCTTCATCAAAAAGTAGATTCTTGCCAAGCACCAGAGAATTCACACCGGTGAAAAACCTTACCCTTGTTCCGAGTGCAAGAAGTCCTTTACTACGAAATCCCACCTCAGAAGACACCAACGGGCTCACAGCAGTTAAGAGTCGTTTTTCTGGTCTCGCAGTTACTTTGACGTCGGTTAAGGTTGCCAGTGTACTTCTTTTAGCTCTGAACCAAACTTTCCAGCCCTCATACGGCTAGGGGCATAGATGGTCACATCTGCAATCCAGATAGAGGCAAATATGGCACCTTTCTTAGCTGTAAAGATTAGGAGGTTGTAGTTCCACTTTAAGGTCCACCTGAGATGTTACAATGTTGAAAACCCCTATATGTGCTCCTAGCGCGACACATCTTTACCTACCAGAGAGTCCACACCAGTGAGAAGCCCTTTTTATGTTCTGTGTATGGCTGACATTTCTCAAAGGGGACCTCACTAAGCGTTCGGACTACCACGCAACGGAGAAACCGCTTCCCGGGAGAAAGTGCGGGAAATGTTTCATGGAGAAATGGGGTCCAATTCAGCGATCAGAGATCCCACAGCCACTGACGCTGCTAATAAAACACAGTGCCATTCCATCGGTTGATGTGTTTTTGGACTTTGCAATAAAAATACCAATTGTCAAATGTTATATTTTGCAGTAATAAGGAGGAAGTGGGCCCTCAGTAAAAGAGAGGACCTTCCATGCAGTGCATACATTCCATGTAGAAATATCATTGTGCAATGGTCCAGCAGGATTTCCACGAGTCAAAGGGTACATTTATAAGTGATCATAATAAAATCAAACTGTAACCGTGACAGTCTCTGGTGAATTATTACATCTATATACATTGAATACACAACATGCATCACGTATCTAAAATGCAAGCTGAAACACTAGTTGATATACAGTGAAGGGAAGGCGGGACAGCAAAGGGACCTTTATCTTTGTTGATTGCTATGTTTTGTGTCTTGCTACTTTCTATTGTTTCCCTCCTCTTATTTTGCATGACTTGTTAGACCGGCCCTTAGTTGCCACTCCCTGCTTCCTCATTCTGTCTTTTACTCTTGTTTTTGCCTCCGTGGAGTCAGGAAGCATATTGTTCTGTGAAAACATTCATGCCATCCTCCAAGTCTGGAGTAAACTACATTGGATTTCACTCCGAGTCTTCTTAGCGAGTTGACACTGCCTGTGGATTTCTGCCAGGTCAGCAAGCTGCTATACTGTCCACACAGACCGGGTCTCAGGAGGTATGTTCAATTGTGTAAAGCGGCATTTGAATGTAAAAGGTCATTGTACAGTGAGTAGGAGGGAGGACAGTGAAGGGTTAATGTATAGGAAATGGGAGGGGGACAGTGAAGAGTTAATGTACAGTGTATGGGAGTGGGACAGGGAAGGGTTAATGTACAGTGTATGGGAGGGGGGCAGTGAAGGGTTAATGTACAGTGAATGGGAGGGGGCAGCAAAGGGTTATTATATTGTAAATGGTAAGGGGGGCAGTGTGACCACTCTAAGTACCTCCTAACCTTTCCCCAGTCTTTGGAGACCCTCCGTCCTGACCAATATGACCTTGTTATATCTGTGGACACCTCGTACCATGCAGCCCCAACAGTACACTATGGCTGGGAGTGCAAGTGAATGGGTGGGGTACAGTGAATGGGAGGGGGAAGTGAAGGGTTAATGTACAGTGAAGGGGTGGGGGACAGGGAAGGGTTAATCTATGTCACATGGGAAGTGGTGGAAGGAGATAAGTCCCTCGCCATCAGTGGGTGTTGGTGACTACAGAGGAGAGGAGACTGCATGCGGATGGTGAGTGGGAGGAGCTGCGGATGGTGAGTGGGAGGAGCTGCTGCTGGGACAGATACAGTGCAATCTTCTATAGAATTCTCTGAAGGTATTTCCATTTCCATCAACATTGTTATTTTAAAACCGAGCACTGTGCGCCCTTCCGGATTGTTCCCGTAACGCAGGTATTCCCCAACTTATAAACAGAGAAGGTCTGGAGAAAGGAAGTGTGAAATCCAGGGGGGGGCCCGCGTGACTAGTGAACTGGCCCGGGTTCGGTTTGGTTGAACGTTCCCCGAACCCAACCAGCAATCCAGGTTCGTTGAACTGAACCCGGGGCCTCCTGTGTCCTGGCAACCAATTACTGGCAATAATGTGAATCAGAGTCACACAAAGGGTTAATATTAATATGTTTTATGGCTGGAAAACAGCTTCAGACCCCCAAACAATGATATATGCTCTGAAAGCAGAGGCCCTGGCGAATAAAAAGAGGCGAGTTGCAATTTTATATGTCGCACGGTATTTGTGCAAATGTTTATCCAACCGGTATTTTTTAGAAATTTAGTGCACAGAAACAGAATATAATACCCAATTTTTGAGTAAAATATAAAAGTTGGGGGTCACGTCGGGTAAATAGATACCAAACATGTCAAGCCTTAAAATTGCGTGCGCCCGTGAAGCCGCAAAAAAAACTTCAATACCCCAAATTTCCCACAGGGGGCGCTTTAACAGCTTTTACTGCTCATCAGTTTAGTGATAACAGTGATTGACGGGCCGAGAATTATTGCTCTCACTCCGACGTTCGCGGTGATATGTAACATGTGCGGCACAATTTTTGTTTTTGCACGGAAGCGCACCGACGCGTTTGTGTATGTATGTGCGTGCACGTTGGGGGGGCGGGGGGACTTTAAAAAAAATGTATTTTTGCATTTTTACAAATCTTCTTATACAGTATATCCAGGGGAGACTAAAAGGGTTAATGTAGCCAGTAAAAATGTAGGGGTCCAATAATGTTGAGTTATATATATATATTTATTAGGGATGCACCGATACTGGTATCGTTATCAGTGCCGATACCGAGTATTTGGGTGAGTACTCGTACTCGCCCAAATGCTCCGATGCCTAGCACGAGTACTTCATGTATCAGGAAGCCTGGCAGCGCGTCATTACACGGCGCCCGGCTTCCTGATTGGCCGGGAGGCGGCTCCATGCTCTCTCGTCACTTGTGATGAGAGAGCATGGAGCCCACTTCCCGGCCAATCAGGAAGCTGGGTAGCGTGCAATGACGCGCTGCCCGGCTTCCCGATTGGTCAGGAAGCTAGCAAATCCGGAAGCCGTGTAATGACGCAGCGCCCGGCATTCTGATAGTGGCCAATTAGAAAGCAGAGCGGCGCGTCATTACACGGTGCCCGGCTTCCATGATTGGCCAGCTAGACGGCTCCGGCTGGGTACCGGAGGAAGACCGTTCCTGGCTGGAGGGGCCCCCGGGGGTGACAGGCTGGACATGCCGAGGTGAGAGGGGACAGGCTGGGACGGCTTTCTTGTTAATCGGGAAGCCGAGTGGCGAGTCTTTACACGCCACCTGGCTTCCTGAATGGGGCTTCCGGTACTTGGTAATTGGTATCGGCGAGTATCGGAAAAAATTGCCAAAATGCCGGTATCGGTGCATCCCTAATATATATATATAGTGCCACTTTAAGAGCTTATAGGCACTTGCTTTTTCTCTTGCAGTAGGAAACAAAGTTTGAGCCTGTGACAACATTCACCGCCTGATGAAACCGATCGTCCATCTTCCTGTTTGATCAAAGAATAGACTTTTGTGGTCAGGACCAGCAACTGTCACGGCGGACTACTACCCGCTTCCCTTTTAGTGTCAGTCACATGATGTAACACCCATTTGACTATTAGCTCGCTGTTAAGAAGATATGGGCTTTGATTGGACTACAGCTATAACATCACGCCTAGACCTTATGCAGATTCATGATTATAAAGTGTTTTGCCTAAAGCTTGTAAAGGAAGAAGACGCTTCCTCTTTGCACTCAGCCCACATGGGCCGAGTCTCTGTGTATTGTATCTTCTTCTTCACTGCAGTGAATAAAAAGCACCTTTCCTTTCATCAATTTGGACTCACAATCTCATCTGAAAGGCCTTGTTTGGAGACTCCCGATTCTGACGTATCAGTACGGTGAATGGGAGGGGGCAGTAATGGGTTAATGTACGGTGAATGGGAGGGGGCAGTATAGGGTTAATGTGCGGTGAATGGGAGGGGGCAGTATAGGGTTAATAAGTAGAGGTTGTGTGTCGTGGGGGGGGGAGGGGGGAGTATAGGGTTAATGTACAGTGAATGGGAGGGGGCAGTAAAGGGTTAATGTACGGTGAATGGGTGTAAAGGGTTAATGTACGGTGAATGGGAGGGGCCAGTAAAGGGTTAATGTATGGTGAATGGGAGGGGCCAGTAAAGTGTTAATGTACGGTGAATGGGAGGGGCCAGTAAAGGGTTAATGTACAGTGGGTGGGAGGGGGCAGTAAAGGGTTATTGTACGGTGAATGGGAGGGGCAGTAAAGGGTTCATGTACAGTGAATGGGAGGAGGCAGTAAAGGGTTAATGTACGGTGAATGGGAGGAGGCAGTAAAGGGTTAATGTACGGTGAATGGGAGGAGGCAGTAAAGGGTTAATGTACGGTGAATGGGAGGAGGCAGTAAAGGGTTAATGTACGGTGAATGGGAGGGGCAGTAAAGGGTTCATGTACAGTGAATGGGAGGGGGCAGTAAATGGTTATTGTACGGTGAATGGGAGGGGCAGTAAAGGGTTAATGTATGGTGAATGAGAGGGGCAGTAAAGGGTGAATGGGAGGAGGCAGTAAAGGGTTAATGTACGGTGAATGGGAGGGGGCAGGAAAGGGTTAATGTACGGGGAATGGGAGGGGCAGTAAAGGGTTCATGTACAGTGAATGGGAGGGGGCAGTAAAGGGTTAATGTACAGTGAATGGGAGGAGGCAGTAAAGGGTTCATGTACGGTGAATGGGAGGGGCACTGAAGGGTGAATGGGAGGAGGCAGTAAAGGGTTAATGTACGGTGAATGGGAGGAGGCAGTAAAGGGTTAATGTACTATGATTGGGAGGGGGCAGCAAAGGGTTAATATATTGTAAATGGTAAGGGGGGCAGTGTGACCACTCTAAGTACCGCCCCAACCTTTCCCCAGTCTTTGGAGACCCTCCATCCTGACCAATATGACCTTGTTATATCTGTGGACACCTCGTACCATGCAGGCCCTACAGTACACAATGGCTGGGAGTGCAAACCGGCTACTAGAAAATGGCTGCCAGTATGTAGCTGATCATGTGACAGAGCACATGTTGCAGTTGTTATGATGAGGTGGCCATGCTCCTTCCTGGCAATACTTCCTGTACTCCTTCCCTGCATGTGGAGGTGTCCAGAAGCAGCAGGTCTGATCTTTCCGTCTGCCCCCTACCAGCTTCTGCTGCTTCCCATCTCTGCAATCCTCTCTACAGTTCTTTGGTTGGTCTATTTTATTTTTCTTTCGGGACTTTGGAACTCCACTTTTCCTGGTCCTCCCTTTTCTTTCGCTTGCAATGGCCTGACCCGATTCAGCCTGAAAATCAGATCATTTGCAGTCAATTTCCAACTTTCCACTTTGTGTGGTCATCATTGGTCTGGTGTTCCTGCTTTCCACCAGTGGCTGTCCCTGGGAGCTGCCCAATTTATGGTACCGGTGTCACCTCTGAGCTTCATAATTATGTGTTTGTATTGTCCAATTCTCAGATCGGTTGTCACCAGAAACCAGACCAGCTGTGGAAGAACGTCTGTGTGGACAATTCAAAACATGGACCGGAGTCACACGACCGAGAAGATATTAGATCTCACTTTGGAGATCATACAACTGCTGACCGGAGAGGTGAGGAGGATTCTGGGAGGTCACATGACATCACTCTTGTCTCTTCTAATAAAACATAGACCTGACCAGAGAGGTGAGGAGGAGTCAGGGAGGTCACATGACATCACTCTGATCTCTATTCATAAAACACAGACCTGACCGGAGAGGTGAGGAGGATTCTAGGATGTCACATGACATCACTCTGATCTCTATTCATAAAACACAGACCTGACCAGAGAGGTGAGGAGGAGTCTGGGAGGTCACATGACATCACTCTGATCTCTATTCATAAAACACAGACCTGACCGGAGAGGTGAGGAGAATTCTGGGAGGTCACCACTGCCTGACTGTAGAAGTTTAGATTGATGAGAATGTCAGCTGACCTTTCCTTCTGCAGCTACTAAAATAAAATAATTCCCATGACGGACACATGAGAGGTTCTGGGGATGTTGGAGCCAATATTACCATTTGTATTGATATTTATGAAATTCTTGACCAACAGGATTGTGCCGTAGAGAAGAAGAAATCTGGTGAGCAGAACACTCCGAAAAACCCTTCCTGTTTGTTAGCAGAATGGAGACAGAACCAGAGATCCACCATTGTGTCTCCAATGGACATCCTGAGACCTGAACAAATCAACAAGAAGATTCTAGAAGTCACCCAGAAGATCATTGAGCTGCTGACAGGAGAGGTGAGCGGTGCCGGGAATTCTGGGACATGATCCAGGAACAGACAAGGGATGTGTCTGGATGGTGACGGTATCATTGTGTGTGTCAGGTTCCTATAAGGTGTCAGGATGTCTCGGTCTATTTCTCCATGGAGGAGTGGGAGTATCTAGGAGGACACCGGGATCTCTACAAGGACGTTGTGATGGGGGACAACCAAATCCCCAAATATGTAAAACCAGAAAAGAAGAAAAATCGCTTCAATTATATAATGCTGAACCTCTCCGTGGAGATCATCTACCTGCTGACCAAAGAGGTGAGGAGGATTCTGGGAGGTCACGTGACATCACTCTTATCTCTATTAATAAAAGATAGACCTGGCTTTAGAGGTGGAGCAGATTTTGGAAACAGACAGTAATGATTTGTACCGTCTCTTTCTTTCACAGGGTCATGAAGTGGTAAAGAAGATATCTGGTGAACAACGAACACGAAGTAGCAGTCCTGATGCATCATTTAAAAACACATCTGAGATGCACAACAAACACCAGACGAGATCCACCAGCCTTCCCCATGAGCCATCCTCCATTACAGTGCCAGCAACTCACTGCCCGATACCTGAGAGGAATGATGAGAAGATTCTAGAAGTCACCCGGAAGATGATCGAGCTGCTGACAGGAGAGGTGAGCGGTGCCGGGAATTCTGGGACATGATCCAGGAACAGACAAGGGATGTGTCTGGGTGGTGACGGTATCATTGTGTGTGTCAGGTTCCTATAAGGTGTCAGGATGTCTCTGTCTATTTCTCCATGGAGGAGTGGGAGTATCTAGAAGGACACCGGGATCTCTACAAGGACGTCGTGATGGAGAATGAGCCGCCCCTCACATCACCGGGTAAGAGGAGAGAGCAGTACGGAGGGTCCACCTAGATCCCCCATCATCTGATACACACATAGAAACAATGTATTCAGTCAGTGTGTGTGTTTCCTACAGATGGATCCAGTAAGAGGAACCCACCAGAGAGATGTCCCCGTCCTCTGTATTCCCGGGATCCCACACAGGAACATCACACCGCCCCCCACCAAGATCAGGTAGGTGGAACTCAGCATGTAGACCTAAAATGTATTCTAAGCTATGAGATGACTTTCTTCTATGTGATTTCTTGTTTATAAATGTATTTTATCATCTTTGGGGTTTAGGATGAGGAACTGAAAAACATCAAAGCTGAGATTAAAGAGGAAGAAGAAGAGACGTTGGTGAGTGGAGCTCAGCAGTCTATGGAGGAGGGGGAGATGATTATGAAGAGTAAACAGGAGGAATCTTCTCTACATATCGACACAAGTAAGTCATAAACACTAAATGCAGAAATAGGTCACATTTTCATTTTCCTTTCTTTGCTCACCACAAAGAAAAAAATAATCCTAAACCTACAGCAAAGCCATTGGAAGGCAGACAAATTATACAGAACTTGGCCCAGTTTGCTCCAACAAGGATAAAATAATTCCTCTCTGATCTAAAAGTCAATCTTATAACTCTCCCAATTAACATACTACAACATGTGGCCCTTTAGTGGTGTCAAGGGCCACACCTGAAGACCTCAATATCTAGTACTTACTTTCAACCATATGAAAGGTCCATCTCCATTCCTCAATATAACGTCATGTGACCAACAAATGAGGAGGAGATACTGTATACCATATGGAAGGTCCATCTCCATTCCTCAATATAATGTCATGTGACCAACAAATGAGGAGGAGATACTGTACACCATATGAAGGTCCATCTCCAGTCCTCAATATAACGTCATGTTTCCAACAGATGTGGTGAAGATAGAGTACACCACAAGAAAGTACTGTACTGAACACCTTTTCTATTCCCTAATGTAAAAGGTATGCACACTGTGACTTATTGTTAACATTATTTTCATCAGGCTTGCACAGTGTCCAGAGTACCTTAAAGGAAAATCCTATTTCATCTCCAGATTACGGCACAGGAGATAACGACATTGCCCAATGTTCTTCAGGAGTGAAGCCCGTTACTCGATCTATGCATTGCAGAAGTAATCATGTGGATGAGTCAAGGGTTCGCTTTAACCCTGAGGAATCTTCTGGTCGATCCCATGCTCATATCCCAAATATCAATCCAGAACCTCAATTCGCGGACGGGTCATCAGATACATCTAGTTCTGAGGAACCTTCTCCAAACAAATCACGTACTGTTAAACGTAGACGCAATAAGATGTTTCCATGTCCCAAGTGTGATAAATGTTTTACTAGAAGGTCACATCTCCTTAGACATCACAACCAGCACACAGGTCGACACCCTTATTCATGTCCGGAGTGCAAGATGTCTTTCAGAGACAACGTAGGTCTTGTAGAACATCAAAGAGTTCACTCTGACGAGAGGCCTTTTTCATGCCCAGAATGTGGAAAGTGTTTTAAACGGCAAAGTTATCTCACGATACATCTCAGAGTTCACACAGGGGAGTCTCCTTTTTCATGTTCAGAGTGTGGAAAGTGCTATAAAGAGAAAGGAACACTCAACAGACACCAGCGAACCCACACTGGTCTAATGCCACATACTTGTGCAGAATGCGGGAAGAGTTTTGCACGGAAAGGTACACTCCTCAAACACGAGCGGACCCACACAGATGAGCGACCTTTTTCATGTCTGGAATGTGGCAAACAGTTCAAGCAGAAATACTGTCTTGCCCAACATCTGAAACTTCACAATGAAAGCAGTTAAAGCTTTTTAAGAAGAACAATGAACGCTGCTTACATCAGAGTGATGACAATGGGTGAAAAGATAAGTCAAGGTTCATGGTGTGATCAATCGTTTATTGGTTAGGAACCAAAAAATTGACACCAGCTTAGACACCAAAGTCTTCTTCTCAAAACCTCAACATTGTTGGCCAACAGAGAAGTCTCACCGGAGAGATGGCCTACTTTGAGTTCATGTTCCTAGTGTGGCGGATACTTCTTTAGTGGAGGAGGCCTCAATAACCACTGTAGACGTAGCTCTGAAGTGAAGGTGCTTTAATGTCCAAAGTATAAGCAATGTTTTACGTAGGAAGGACATCTTAACCAACAACAGAGATGCTGAAGACCAACATCTGGCCGTAGGTCATATTATCCAACATTTTGAGCCAAAGTAAACATGCTCGTTCCTCTAAACCCATCAACGTTCCTTCTACTCATGAGCTGTTTGTAATGTGGTGAGCCGATGTGGACAATGTCTCAACACACTACATGGACCTCCACACAAGTGGTAGTGAGAAGATCATCCACCTCCTCATCCTTAAGTTGAAGACTACAAAGTCCTGAAGAATGAAGAGTTAGAAGACCAGGAAATATCAAAAGTCCAGTACCGTGGATGTCAAGGGATATGTTGATGTAAATAAAATCCTTTTATGACTAAGATTGTTAAAATTGTCTCACAATTGAGAAAATAAGTAAATATTGTTTTATATTTGGTATAGTTCTCAGTGTGTTATTTATCATACAGATAGTCTTTATGTTCTAGAGGCCGGCAAGAATATCAACTTAGTTTACGTCAAAAGGAGAGCGAAGGAGGGAGAGTCTGCAGAGACACAGGAGTGGGTAGGGGGAGAAAGTCTGCGGAGACACAGGAGGGAAAGAAACTAAGGGGAGGAGGGATAGTCTGCAGAGGCATAGTCGCACAAGAGAGGAGAGGAGGTATAGTCTGCAGAGACACAGCCACAAAGGAGGGGAGGGATATTCTGCAGAGACACAGTCGCAGAGGAAGAAGGGATAGTCTGCAGAGACACAGTCACACAGGAGAGGAGAAATAGTCTGCAGAGACACAGGAGAGAAGGGGTAGTCTGAAGAGACAGTCAGACATGAGAGGAAGGATAGTCTGCAGAGACAGTTACACAGGAGAGGAGAGATAGTCTGCAAAGACACAGTCACA